TTGTTGTTGTTGCTGCTGCTGCTGCTGCTGAATGACGATTGCTGACGACGAAGTGAGACTGAGTGCAGATGACGGCACGACATCTGCCGGTGCACCACCACCTTGAGTCGATGACGACGACATCGCCACTCCTTTCATTGGCATCACCTGCCAGTTCTACGATTAGATCATCAATATTGTCACAGAGCTTACTTGCTCTCGAGCACTACTCATTATTACTGGAATAATGATATGGAAAAATCGATGCTTGTAACAAAATCATTAATGCACACCTCTTGTTGACTACTCGTTGAACTTGATGCTGAGAAACGCTTAACCAAGTTGGACTCTGGAGTGGATGAACCCGATGCTGGTACAATTACGGGACTTAACGCTGCCGGCTGCGATGAAAGCGGCTAAAATTCGGCTGACTCATCAACAATGGACTGCGAATGATTCAAAAATTATTTATTTATGTTAACTTACGACGTGTTTGTGGAATTATTGTTATTGTTATTATTATTATAATCAGTAGAAATGCCAGAATGAAATGAACTGATGAAAACCATTCACAACAGTTGCATCACTACTGATGAATATTGAACTCTTTCCAGTTCATATAACTCATTCAAAGCTGACATCCGAAAAACGTGAAACATAAGCTGCTGCTGCTGCATCACTGAGCTGGCACAAGCGAATCACCGGGATTAGCGGATAAAAGGAATATTCAAAAAGTGAAAAGTAACGAACAGGAGGCATATCGATGTGCAGAGGGGTGGAGGTTGTGCTATCGTTGTCATTCGCAGTGATCTGTTGAGGTGCTGACTGCTGTTGCTGTGCTGCTGCAGACTGTTGGGCCACCGAGGCAGTCGTCGTTGTCGTGGTCGTAACTGAGATCACGCCTGACGGCTGTCGTACAACATCAACCGGTTGCTTCACTCTAAAACACGCTCATTTCAGCACTTATTCAAATCACTAATTATCATATATGTACATATTAGGTCATACTATGGCTCTTCAGTCGCCAAATGGTTCCACCGAAAACTTTTGTGAATTTTAGTCAAAAGTCTAAAAATCGAATGCGCATCAACAAAGTATTTTCGTTCAAGACTCGACTCTACGTAACGTTAGCACACTTAGTCATGCTAGCGAAGTTGGTAAAGAGTCGCAGGTCTGCATGAAACGATATTCATTTCATGACTGATATGTGACGTAATCGAATTACTTCAACAATGACGTAACTCGTAGCTCGAGTTGTCTGCAGTCATTAGAGTTAGAAATCATCGCATTAAAATGAGACAAAGCAACAAATTCATCATCCGATATAACAGATCTGC